CCTGTATACAGAGCACAGAACATGATCGTGAGGAAATCAGTTTTTTTTGCTAACATGATGAGAATATCAGATGAGCCTCATTCAAGTGTCGGTCTTTTTAATATCACACGGCTGATATAACTACCAGTAATCTGAATGCAACAAGTAAGAGGATAAAGGGAGCACACACAATGTTTGAYTTGTATTAAAAGCCTTCCTTCCTGTTTCTCCTGAGAGTTTGGGTGAAAAATGTTGACCAGAAGAACCTTTAGAACATCTCAGGATTTAAATCTACAGTATGCGGGAAAATGGCTAAAGGCACACTTGACAAAGGAAATTTTAAGACCCCTCATGTACCAGGGTTGAAACCTGTCACAACACAGCCTCCAATCCTCCTGGCTTACTCACACTGCTTGTTCTCATCTTGAGGTGGTAAATGAGCCACGTGTAGTTGAACTCCTTCTCTTCAGCGTTGACAGATTTTGGGTGGATACACACCTTTCCATCAGYCTGGGTGTACACCTTCACCCTGAGAAAGAGGAAAGGAATGAATGCTGGGGGGCTGGTGATTGTTTCATTCCCCACAATGCCTTAAATTCTGAGAAATTAAATATTTAGACATAATATAATAACATCTACTATTTACTAAAAAGTCATTTTATATCAGCTAAAAATAAAAGAAAAAATACATCTCATCAAGATAGAAAGAAAACATTTTACATTGTCATTTCTTCACTAATCAGGGAAACCTTAAAGGACTTGCTTTCACAAGTAAAACATGACTTGATTTCCAAAAGCCAACACGTTTCCCATCATCATTTTTTCAAGCTCATTTTCATTCTTCCTTCTTGCAGTTTTAAAAAATGAAAAAGTGTACACGGCGCTCTTGGCAGCAGCTCCTCTGGCAGCATATAAATGYTTTTTGTAGCAGTCCTTGTTCTTTCTTCCAGCAAAAAGGATTCATATTCTGTGAGTTTTTTTAGTAATGAGAACACTTATCCTCTGCCTTTCTGTCCATGGAGTTTTGATCTTGTTTCAATCAGCGGCCAAGCAAAAAAAAAAAAAAAAAAACCTTCAGCTTAGACCTTCTGAGGGTTTCTTTCCTTTTTACAGGAAGTCCAACATGTTCCTTCAGATTTAATGATTGAACTCAAATTCGTTTTCCTTCTAATAGTGATCAGTTCTCTGAAACACAGTCTCCAAAACCAGTCCCAAAGTATGAACAATCCAGTCAATTATTTTGTTCAGAATTGTGGGTAGTAGGGAGAAGCTAGCTCCTGCTGACTTTTGCAATATAAATCAAGGAATTATACATTTTGAACAAGTTTTGAAAACTGTWTTGATTAGTCTTTTCTAATGATGACATCACAGAGGCCACAGGCAAAATAAGATAATTAGGCTCTCACACATTGATAAAGGGTACTGGAGAAAAACAAAGAAGAAGAGTTTATCTAAATAATGGATAAAAAATTTAAAAAGTTTAAGGTCTTGGAGACAAGTTCATTTTGAAAAGAAAGATTTTTTTGCACACCACTTTACAGYAAATGGGGAAAAACTGATCTGTAAAATCCTTAAAGCAACATAGTGGATTTTTCAAATATTATTTCAATAATAACAGAAAAAAAAGATAAAACAACCAAAATTTTCAAAACATATTGAAAATGTTGGGTTTCTTTGAGGTAAGCACAATAAAACTTCAATCTCCCATCACTCATTTGTGCTTCAGGTTAACGGTTATTATCCYCAATCAATACAMTGAATCTGCAGAATGAAGTTAAGTMTGTTAAAGATTTACTGTGTAGCGACAACAGGTTTTGACAAAAACAGACAAAATGTTAAATTGCACAACTTTACAGCAGAGATGTGGCATTTTAGGATAAGTTATTTGGAGGATATGCATTTTATTCTGGTGTTATTTAGATCCAACAGTTGTCATTTCTGACAAAAAGGGTAACAAAAACTGACATGGTAAAATATTAACACTTTAAACAAAAAAAAGTCATCTGTTGCTGAATTCAAAGAGGCTACATTTMTCTGTAATATAAATATGTTCTGTCCTGTGTTCATTTAGTACCCATTTAAAAAATATTGGATGTTTTAAAGCTGCGAAATACTTATTTAAATATTATCTACAACATGTGTGGATGTAACTGTGTCTATTCACACCCAGTGTTCACAGTTGTGTGAAAACTGACAACAAAAGTATTTATTTATTTTTTCATTTTTTCAAATCACTGAGTAGCTTCAGAAATAACCAATTAGATGTGTTTTAGCTTGTTATTATATTCCTCTTCAAATGCCTCCTGTCATCCTGCCGGGAAGAAAAAAAAAAATTATGCCGTCTTGGATTCATTGCGAACATTAAAGAAACGCCGTGTTCCAAACGTCTGTGTTGCAGCCAGACAGAAGCGACTGGTCGGCCTCAGAGAACAAGCTGCACGTACCAGACAGCAGTTTGATTTAGCTGCAGAACAAAAACTGACTCKCCGAGTAATCAAATCATTAAAATATGCAGAGCTGTTGCGCAGATATTAAATCTTACTGAATTTAATGCGAATACAAGCACTAAAAAAGACAGACAAAAGCAAGCGTTTCTATTGACTGCATGGTTTATCTTTTTTTTGTTTTGTTTTTTTGTTTGGCATGTTATGTTTTTTGGATTAGAATGTGCTGAATGAATAAAACTGCCACTGTCCCTGCCATCAGTCTTCTGCACACAGGTCACAGCTGCTCACTCYGACAGCTGCCTGAGGGCCACTCTGTGATGACTGCATTGATCTCAAGCTGCAGAAGTGCCTTTTTGACAGTTTTCCTAACACGGTCGGCACAGCTGCAGGTAGCTGTCACAGGACACTTACAGAAGTCTCACACAGAGGTCTGATGAACGGCTGCGAGAGTTATTTGTCTTTCAAGTGAGAGAGAGAAAGAAAGGAAAATGTCCACTTCTCTGCCACGTGCTGCACAGTCCATCCTCGAACAAACAGACTTACCCAGGTCTCTTTTTGCTGAAAGACGGTCTGATCATGGCCACTTTAGGGTAGAGTCCAGCTACAATCACCGCTTTGATTAACTTCTCATTATCTGAGAAAAGACGCAGCAGGTGGAGAGAGGCATAGTGAGTGCTGATCCAAAGAACGCTTGTCTGATTCACCAAAAAATAAATAAATAAAATAAAATAAAATAAAATCAGCTCAGGAAATAGATTCTTTATTACCTGAGTTGATATTGGATTGGGGGTCTTTAGGGTCACTGCTGCTGACAAAGCCTGCATGCATGAGGTGTTCAGCAAACTGACCCTTCATGTTGTGTAACATCTAAAAAAAAAAATCAATAAAAAGGGCAAGTTACGTCTTGGKAAAAAAAAAGTTATTTCATATTTCGGACAGGCGTCATCAGTTAGAATCAGCGTGACTCACTTGGAGCGTGTTGGCAGACAGGAAGTTGTCCCAGCAGAAGTCCTTCTCATACCTGGCACCACGTCGTTTAGCTTCCTCCCAGCCCTGCACGACAAATTAAAACAGAATCAAGTCATGCGGCAAACAAAATTCAATAAAACCCGGGGTCACAGTTTTACCTTGAAGGCGTTGACAATAGTGAGATGATCACTTTTAGAGTTTCTGGACAGAACTCTTCTTCTCATGTCTGCTATCTTTTCTTTGCCCTAAAAAAGAAAGGTGCATCAAAAACTACTTTTTATTACGCAAGACAAACAAAAAGAGTCAGATGTTAGAATGAAGCAATGYGAGCTGAAGTGTGTGTTTTCAATGTAAGCTTTCATGTCTGTGAACTCCGCACCCCTACCAGGGGGATGAAGAAAGGGTCTTTGAAGCTGAGCGAAGCGGCGATGGTGAGTACTGGGTCGAGGCATCCCAACAGGGCTCCAAACAGGATGAGTTTGCCAATGTGGGGCTCCACAGGCAGACGGGCCAGGTGGAAACCCAGTGCTGTCAGGTTCTCTGTGTGGTCCAAGGCGTTCTGACACAACATGGGGACAAAATCCAGAAGGAAATGGTTTCAGCTCCTCATTGTGTTTTTGAACATCATCCATAGAAATGAAAGCTAATTTCCTTTAGGAAATGCAACTTTTTTATTAAAAAGAAACTACAGAGGTAGCAATTTGAATTGCAAATAAAAAACAAAAAAATCTTGAAAAATATTAAAAACAAAAGTTATTAAAAACAAATGGAAACAAAAAAAAAAACTGTGCCTGCGTTCAGAAAAAGAAACAAAGTAATAAAACTGAGGCAAAATTAATTAATAAGAGTAAATTCAATGACTAAAATTAATTTAAAAGGCACAACTAGAAGAACAACAAARCTAAGTAGATAAAATAAACTAAGATTAGCATTTGGGAATAAATAATCATTAAAACTAAATTAAACTAAAAAGCCAGACCAAACAGGGGTGTCTTCTTCTATTTTGCAACATAAGAAATACTAAAAACATAAAAAGAACAGTATTTCCTCTTCCATTGTACTGAAACTGTTTAATGACATATTAGTTATGGTATTTCCAGTAAGTTATATAGTGAGAGGTATACAAATTCTGCTAATGTAAATTTCATTGCAGGCTTTTTTATGTTTGTAATTTTTCTAAAAAAAAAAAGAGAAAGAAACAAAAAAAAGCTGCACATTCTTAATAAATGTTAGTAATTTTTCTGTTGTCAATCATTTTATGTTCATAATACACTCCACCCCCACTGAAGGTGATACTCTAGGGCATGGGTCTGCAACCATACATAACAATGACTGTTTTTGTTTATACCCACAACAAAAATCCATTTGTATACAAATATGTGATCAGTACTACTAATAAAAAAGTAAACATGTTGATTAGCACATGCTAGCTTGTTGTGTACTTAAATAATCCAACTTCTTTCTATGATCTTTCTCGCATTTCCATCAGAATTACCTATTGAATACCCACCTATTTACTTATTGAATTGAAGAATTTGAAGACTACATAATAAGATGAATTAGAAAAAAAGTGCCTGAATACTAGTTTTTATGAAATTCAGTATAAACTGTATAGAGTATTTTTCTTGTTTACATGAATGTGGTCTTTTCATTTGTCCTGAAGTGTAAAAATAACAGTAAATAATAAAATTCACAATATATTTTTTTGTTTATAATGTCACCTCCACTGGCCGTAAAGGTTCCTGAAAAGGCCTCGAAAAGGCCCATGGACCACCAGTTGATAATTATAGTTGTAGCTTGCTTTGCGGCTCTGGACATATTTTATTAGTGCATCAAGTAGCATAAATGGCTCTTTTGATCGTAAAGGTCGCAGACCCCTGCTCTAGGGGAAACACTGAAGAATCAGAGCAAATTTTGTCAAATTGCTTAATAGCTGCAGCTTTCCATCCTCAAATCTAAAGGCTTATATTGAAACACAACAGCTGATTCACACGCTGTCCTACCAGGTCTGTGAGGTTCTTGATGGCGAGGCCAACAGCCTTCTCAGTGGGAGGGTCCAGAGCTTTTTCCAAAAATCGACCTATGGATCCGAGCTTCAATATCTAGACGGTGTACATCACATTTCATCATGTTAGAATGACATTTCACAATTTTGAAAGAAAACATGACACTGAGGACAGTGCACTGATATGGTAAGACTCTCTCCTTCAGACAAGTCTGTAGCTCAGGATAGAATCACTCATGCCGTTRCGCGTGACTTCAAATATTTAACTGAAACCACCTTCACGTGATTCTGCAAGAGCCAAGCGCGAAACAATTCAGACAAGAGCCGATTCTGTGAGCATTCATCTAAAGTGCAATCATTTCCACATCACAATAGACTTTTTAATTGTCCAAACTGAAGCAGAAAGAAGCAACCGCATTTCCACTCTACAGATGACAAAGGGGTGATGTTGGAGTGTGTGTGCATTAGAGATTCAGCTCAGAATCCAACCTGTCGTAAGTGTTTCTCTCACTTTAAAGGCTGATGTGATGCATTAGTCCACCTCTCACCTACCGGCTAAAAAAAAAAAAAAAAACGACATTAAACACATACTCAAATAGATTTAACTGAGCTGGTGGAAGACTCAATGCTGGAAAGCACATACAATAAAGTCACTGATGAGAATGATCTCCGCAAACACTGGAACTGGATGAACTTTGGCTTTATGTTCCATTAGCAACCATTTTCCGACTGGACTATGAGGATTTAAAAWAGAGGCAACCAAATGATGTGGGAGAGGGGGAGGGGTGCACAAAAGAAAAAAAAAAACAGCTGTTCGTGTATGAGGAGAAGTGATTATATTGTTGTCGGGTGGGGGGGAAGAGAAAGAGCAGGAGGACAAGTCAGGCTGGGATGCTCATTCTTAGTTCTTGTTAAGCCAAGCGAGGCAAAACCCCAGCACTGCCTTTGCTCCTCACAGACCCCTTCACTCCTACTCATTTGGACCAATCCAGTCTTCATGTCAACCCTGGAGCCAAAAGCAATCTTTCACCCYTCTGTCATTCTGCATTTCCCTTTCTCCCGCTTCCACCCGACCTTTATCTGCAGGCAGAGCTCCTCCAGCGGTGTCCTCATAATTTCAGGTAATTGATAGGCATCCAGAAGACTGGCCCTRAGCCCATTGTACAGGTGGTAGCACTTTCCTGGTTGCACTCTGGATATATGCAGAGAAAAAAGAAGAAGAAGAAAAAAGAAAACAAATTACATGTTAGACCAGTCCCGTGACAAGAGTTTAATTTGAAAAATCAGTGGGATGAAACTGTGTGCCGTTCGCAGCTCCTGCTAATTGGGASGCGCTGCACTTTGATGTCAGAGCATCTAACAGAGCAGGCTAGTCGAGTCAGAGGCTGGAAATAACCTGGGAGGAACTGAACTTTAACTCTTTCTGTGTTTACACAGAAGCGTGAAGGCGTGGGCCAGGGGAAAACAGTGATGGAAAGCTTGGATGCAAAGTGAAGATGGAGAAAAAAATCCTCGTAGAATAGAGCTACCTACCAAGAGGCATCCCTTTAAAGCACACCCTCGTTTCAAAAATGCCCCTGTGATACAAACTAACCTGCCCGCACGTCCTTTCCTCTGTTTGGCATTGGCCAGGCTGACCCACTCAGCTGTCATCGTGCTGATGTTGTTGTTTGTGTCGAAGTTGGTCTCCTTAATCTTGCCTCCGTCGATCACATAAACAACGTCATCTATGGTGATGCTGGGAGGCAAAAGGCGAGAGAAAGACGAGCAGGTCAAACACACACACCCACACTTAAAAGGGGTCAGCTGAGTAGATTTAGTTAAGAATCTTAAACTCAATCATTCAACAGCAAAATGATTAATTCAAGCTCTTTGGTATGAGTTGGAGTCTACATTTAGTGGAATGATTTAGCGTGAGGCGGCGTCTCCATTTGCTCAGTGTGTGTGAGAGTGGCAGGGCTTTGTAAATCCATTAACAAATTGCCTGTCGAGAGTTTCCCATCCAAGCCAGTGTGCCAGCATTTGTAATCAATCCAAGAAATGTACGCTAATTAGCTTCAAATCTGCTTTTCCCAGTAATGACTTGAAACTGCTGCATATTACTGGCAAACGCATTCAAAAAATGCACACTTACATGAGAGCAATTATTAATAAACTCTTTACTCTTTTCTATTAATATTTTCTTTATTTTGCTAGAGAAACAGATTGATTTAAAAGTAATTGTAAAAAAAATAGGAGAAAATGATAGAAACCCACACACAAACATACCCACCTGGTCTCGGCAATATTAGTAGCAATCACGATCTTTCTGAYGCCAGGTGGAGGTCTTTTGAATACCTGGGAGGATTTGAAAAGTTAAATGACACCTGTGATATAGAATACATGAAAACAAAAACATGAGTGTTGGGCACAGAGAATACAGGAGAATACGGACCTGTGTCTGATTAACAGTAGGCATGAGCGAGTGCAACGGGATGATAACAAAATTATCTGAAACATAACAGAACATACAAAAAATAAGTCCAACAAAGCTCGAGTTAGCAAAACATTAACAGTTCTAGCTGAAAGGTGGGTGATAATGTGATTGCCAGTCTTTGTGWGTGCATATCTGTGATTTTAGCAAAAATATTTAACTAACCAGTGGATGGATTTTAATGAATTCAATTCAATTCAGTTTATTTATTTAGCACCAAGTTACAACAATTGTTGTCTCAGGGTACTGTACTCAAAAATCAATAAATCTAAAGAAGCCAGCAGGTTGTGCTGAATTTTCACTTCATCACAGTCTCCCATCCTGAGCAACACATTGATGACAGTGGAGAGGAAAAACTCCCTTTTAACAGGAAGAAACCTCCAGCAGAACCAGGCTCAGGACAGGTGACCATCTGCCTCGACCAGCTGGGTGATGGGACAGGAAAGAGGAACAGACTGAAACTAAATGAAATGCACAATATCAGGAAAACCAGCAATGTGCGATAGCATTGCTTGATATTGCAATAACGATATGACTTGCAATAAAAAAAAATACTTATATGCATGTATTCTCTTATTGCAGTTGTCCAACATTTTCTCCACCATTTTGTTTATAAGACTAATGCAAACATTTAAGTCTTGACCACTTATTGCAGTTTATGGCGTTTTTTTGCAATTATTTTCCTGTTATCGTAATGACGATACATTTGCGATATGTTGTGGAGCCCTACTGTGACTGTTTTAGAAGTCAACTCAATTCAAAATGGCTACCAAAAAATAAAAATAAAAAAAATCAACAAATATAGCCATAATATAGTCAATTTATTTTCAAAGTTTGACCACAAAGGCTAAAACTCCCCTGACTAAAATTCATTTTTCAAGGTAATTAATTTAAAACACAGAAAAGGCTGTGGGTGATGTGCATTCCTTTAAGGTATGCTAATTCTTTATTTTTTTTACATTTTGCTTCCAGCAAGCCAGACATTTGTGTTATTTTTAAAAAGGTCTTGATCAAAAATTGTCTAAGCGGTTAAAGATTTTTTGGACTTCGCCTTTTCACTCATTTTCTGTTCAATCCTTTCATCTGATCCTAACAGAACTTRTGCAGTTTGAAGAGTAAAAATTAGAAATGTGGACAGGTAGAGGACAAAAGAAAGAAGAGTCCTAATAATTAAAATAAAAGCTATTGASAGCATCTGAACAGTATTTGAAGGTCATGTCTTAAAGAAAATGAAAAGAATCAAAGACCTCATAAAGGACCTGAGAAATCATTCTTGAGCTGATCATCTACTATACATACCTTTTAGTTTCTGCCATAAAGCAGATTGTAAAATACTATAAAAAAAGCCTTCCCTACCTGATCGGAACATCTGCTGAGCCATTAACAAGTCATTAAGACCGCTAATGTTGTCCCAACCTGGCAGGAAGACCAAGATAGCACCTTCCTGCCAAAGAAATGACATAACCATCATGAACACAGGGGGGGAATACAAACTGCTGACAGTAACAAATAACAATTACACAAACAGATAAACAAGTTGCCTATGTCCTTGGAGAAGCTGAGCTGAAAAGACAGAAATGACTCGCCCACAGCTCCCATGCTCCACATTCAAACACACAAAGGGCCCTGGAACATGCCACCAACATCAATACGACAGCATCGTTTTTCCACAACATGGCAGCTTTTACTCCACAACAGAAAAGGAAAAAATGGCTTTCTGGAAAAATAAAAGGACACCAATGCTACCTGAGAAACAAATATTTTAATAATAATCCTATAAGAGAAAATCTCTGCACGTCAGGTATTCCAAGGTTTGCAAATGCATACCTTGTTATCCCATCTGGTACAAAACCTAAATCACATGTATTGTGTTCAGTTGTAAAAGAGAAACACATAAGCCTTTAGTCAAGAGTATTCCTTTGTATGTAGTTATAAATTATTGTCAGGCACGGAAATCTTTGCAGCTGAACTTTTTATAAGTGAGAAGGCTGTCACAAGCAACTGCAGAACAGCTGCAGCAACAAATCACAGGGAAATTCAAATCCGGACAGGTAGAACGCTTTCATTTACATTATCAGGCTCAGGTTTACATGAAAATCTGAAGAGGGTTTTAGTGGAAGTCTTCCAGAAAGAGAATTCTTCAACTGTAAACTCAATAGACGGGATTACTGCAGGAGAACTTTACGTGTGCGTGTGTGTGATTCCATTTGATTGGACGCACCGTGACGCCAGTTTTGCACCCAAGTTTGAAAACATTTAACCTGAACATGGCTCACAGAATAGCAAGCTGTGCTCAGTGCTGCACCCACTGCTTAGTATGTGAAGGAGGCTTTAGAGAAAAAATTCAAATAAAAAGAAAAAAAAGAATGAAAACTATGACTAATTTTTACTGCTGTTGTATTAAAACCAAACGAACTCAGCGTAACAAATTACTTAGGTATATGCCCAGAAACCTAAGCAAAATCCTTGAAAATTTTTCACTGCATAAAAAAAAAAACACTTTCAAAGAAAAAACAAGCTTAGAATGAAATTAAGCAGGCAAAACATAGCCCACATTTTTAAAAGAACAGTTTATCATTGCCCAAGAAAAAGGGAAAAAGGGATGAAGTTCAGACACAAAATGTAGCTTCAGAGCTGTGAGTCTTCATGCCTTTTAATTAAACCTAATTACTATGAGTGATCAAACACTGGCACCCTCTTGGGACTGTGTGTGTGTTTGTGAGGCAGCGTGCCTGCATACAGTAGCCACACATGACACAAATACATAATTATTCTTACGCAGCATGGAAAGATGCTGATTATTCAGGGGGAAAATAATATTTAAAAAGTACAGTAAACTGTGTAGTTTTAGCCCTCTATCTGGCAACCCATACACCCTTCCGTCTACGCAAAGAGCTGCACCTTGCAGGCAGTCATTAATGCCTACATGTCGCCCCTCTTAGTAGCTAATCAGAGACCACTTTGATATAATTAACCAATCACCATGGTCAAAGCCCTGACAGATGGACTATATTCTTGGTTCGGAACGCCGTCATGGCGAATCAGCCAGTTCGAGCTCAGCCGTTTGACAATGCCACGGCGAATCAGCTGGTCGAGTGGCTGAGTGTTGCCRTGACTGACGGAGTTATGGATTCATATAGGAAAGGTAATTACTCTGTCTGTCCGAGTTAGTCACTCCTCGTTCACCTCCCCTCCTGTACCTTTTACAAAAATATACCGAAATATGAAAACTAGCTTCACTTCACTTTAAAAAAATATAAAAATACAGCAAAACTAAATGTATTCTTGTTATTTCCTCTTTCATTTCTGGGACTGACGTGCAAAACTCGTCCTCGCCTTCATTATTCTCCTCTCAATATTGACAATAAGCTACAATGTTGATGACATTCTGCCAACAGAACATAAAAGGAGGAAACTTGACAAGAACTGGAAGGAGAAAAAAGGAAACCAACGTGCAGAGGGAGAGCATCTGTTCGATCACTCATTAGCACAGATTTGCTGCCAGGATCAGTGTCATTTTCTCTGATCTAATGTCACTCTGTGTTTGGAAACTAGCCCTGCTCCCTCCATCTGCTTTGTTATACTATCCTTTTGTCAGCTTAAGCATCTGTGTCACCTATTAACTTTTATTTAGGCTGAATCCATTTGCTATGCGTTACCCTGCTCTGTCTGAGCTAAGAATACTCAAAGATTAGCATATACAAGAACATAAATCTGAAAATCCTCAAGGCAAGTTCGTTGCTTGATTATGCTCAGACGTAACAGGCTGCCTGAAATGTAATCATCTTCTACAGAACAAATTTCCTTTCTAAAAAAAGTACTGAAATCCAGAGAGAAGATGACGCTCACCCCCTCGTTAAGCACAATATGACGGATCAGTGCCAGGATCAGGTCCAGATCAATCTTCTCATCACTGTCCAACATCTCCAGGGCCTGAATTGTGCTGTCAGAGTACCTGAAACATGTCAACAAATAAGAATTTTGAACCATCTTTCATCGGTCAGCGTGACAACACAACAATCCCCCTTCTTTCTAACTTTTTCAGAGCTGCAGAGTTTAGCCAAACTCCCGATGAGTAACGCTTTATTTTTCAACAAACAGAACTAATTCTGTTTGGGGAACAACACTTTAATGAACATAATTTATCAGTCTGGTACTTTTGTGTCCTGTTTATTGGTTCTTGTTCTCAATTAAAAATGAAAGACTGAGTCATTTTGAAAAAACAAACAAACAAAAAACTAAATAAAGAAAAATGCTGGAAAAAACAAGAAACAGATGCAGCCAATGAGCTACTGAATTTAGATTTATAGACTAAATTTAACTCAAAGAATAATACTGTGTAAATATTGTCAGATTTATTTCTTTTTCTTTATATGTTGCTTTCAAGGAGCCAGACTTTCAAGTACTTTTTAAATTGGTTTTCAAAGAGAGATAGTAGGACTTTTGAAAGTCTTTCACGCACTCTTTATCTCTCTGATGCAATTTTTAGACCCCTTTTTGTACCTGACAAGTTTAAGAAAAATAAGTTTGTCAATTAACACGATCCCACCTGATCAGGTTGTCGGTAACAAAATATCTATGAAATTGAAATCTAGTTCTTAAAACTCCCAAGTTGTCTTTTATTTATACACAAAGCACTGGTTCCTCATTAACTTAAAGTGTAAGTCAAGTGGAGTTTTTTATGGCTTAAATGGTTCCTGTTTCAATTTTAATTAACCTAATAAACAGTAAACAYATTCCCGTCAAAACATCTCAGCTAACAGGAATAGGACAGGAAAAAAGTAAACAGTAATGCCCCAAGACAGATATTGACATTATGTCATCTTATTACCTGCCACCCAACACCACATCAAAAAAGGTGAAGGAAATCTGGCTCCATAGAAACAAATTATACAGGAATGAGGGATGACAAAAAACATTTTTATTAAGATTTTTTTAATTAAAGTATTATTTAAGATTTTCATGTTTATTTAATAGCCCTGTGATGGACTTGCGACCTGTCCAGGGTGTACCCCGCCCCTCGCACTGTGACTGCTGGATATGGGCACCAGYGACCCACGCAACCCTGAAAAGGAAGAAGCGTGTACAGAAAATGGATGGATAGATGGATGTTTATTTAATAATCAATAAAGCTGCACCAGAACGTTATTTTTAGAAATGGTGCACAGTACTTACTTTTTATACTCCAGTCAAGATGTTTATTGAGCAGTCTTATTTTCATTTGAAGATTATTTCAAACACTGCTTCTACATCTCTGGCTACAGAAAACACTTGCCTGTGGCCTCTACAGCCACTACATCTCTCCCTCCTCCAAGCAGTTTGAAATTGAATTTCGGAACAATCAGTTCTGCTGATGTTTTGACCATTTAGGATTCATTATGAACACACCCGTGCAGTGACTGAGTGAAGCACACAGCAAATGAAGAGCAGGGCCATGTCTGAGTAGCAGATAGCAGTTTTGTTATAAAGCATTAAAAAAAGCCTGAAACAAACTGGCAGGAAAACACATCAGAGCCAAATTTTTTGGACTGTGGGTGTTTCACAACTCTACCCTGAATGTCAACAAAAATACAGTCTTTGGCAGAAAGTGTGGAAAAAAATAGTTGAATTTTAGATGCGATCGAACAGATTTTATCTGCTCTTCAGTTCAAGGTCATAAATGTTTTAGTTTATGGAGTGGGAACTAATATGACACCTTACAATAACTCTAATTCTTAAAAAGAAAACATACAGTATGACATTACCAGTTCCCAATGTTACCTTCTGAATTATCCTGGAGACCAAGGACTGTATGCAGTGTAGATGCATTCAGAGCAGGAAGTGATTTACAGCTCAAATTACTCAGCACTCAGGCAATATAGGGATTTTCATTTCAAAAGGTCTAGTATAGCAAAGGTAATTATGTTTTCATTTTCCAGCACCTGAGACAGCATTGATAATCACCATAAAAGGAAAGAAGACTGCTCTCAAAACACAGAAAAAAACTGAGTAATGGATGAAACTATTGTAGGTTTATTTTGTACTACACTCTACCTAAAAAAAACAAAAAAAACAATTAAATAAATGACAGAATATTTCACACAATCAAAGAATTTGTCCTCCTCAGTAATGTGCTCACGAAACAATAAAACATCTATTTCCAGCCTTTACAAACTCATACAACCCATTTATCAGCCTGGCAGCTGTTTTGCAAACTTAAGACACACAGGTCCTTTAAATCACCTCACCTGCCCTGAAGAGTGCGTGCATAACAGGGCCAGCTCTCTTTGTATTCCAACTCCTTCTCCTCCTTCTCAGGCCTTGAGTTGCGACCCTGCCAAAAGCTTTTCTTCCATGCGGAGCGACGATCCTCACTCTGAGGACGATATCTGCCAGAGAAAAACCATCGTTTCTACAGAGTAAAATAGGAGTTTGTGCCTGTGCATGTAAGGTTATGTATGTATATTAGGSTATAGTTTTGTTCTACCTGGTCATATCAATAATGTCTTCAAGCAGAAACTCTTCCACTGGGAATGTCAAACCAGGAATGTGGATCATTGGACAGTTGTCTAAAGAGAAGACAATATATATAAGGACAAACTCTTCTAATAAACAAAAAAAAGGAAGTTTGGTGGACTGCATACCAAAATATTTAGAGAACTTCTCTGCATTGAGCGTGGCGCTCATGAGGACAATTTTGAGGTCATTTCGGATCTTGAGCAAATTCYTCACTATGACGAGCAAAACGTCTGACTGAAGGTTCCTCTCGTGGATTTCGTCCAACACCAGGTGACTTATACTGGACAACAACCTTTAAGGAAAACGAGGAAGGTTTTAGTCTGTGGTTGGTTTTTGGTCGAGCGTCTGCTCTAAAAAGATGCTTTACAGCTGTACTTGCAACAGGGGGAAGTTTTATAAAATCAGTGTTTCTTACAAAGTCCTTCAGTTGTAAACTATTTAAAGACAGGCTATTAAGGGAATAATTCAAATGTTTTGATGTGGGGTTCAGTGAAGAAATTTAGAGATAGGGAGATTAGTACTGATGTTAAAAGCGCAACACTATATTCTTAAGTTCTCCTTTTTGTAATGTTGACAGTGTTTAATCTATTATGTTTTGATTGAAATAGGTATAATTACATGTCTGAAACATCTTTTACAACACATAAATAAACGTTTGAATGACATTAGCTGAGAATTTTGTCTGAATGCCTGTGACTCAGCCGTAGGTCAGCAGGGGGCGAGCGAAGACATTGAAGAAACTGTATAAATACATGGACTTCCTGTTTTTCGGACAGTGTGGGTTTCCTGTCTGCAGACGCAGTAATAAAACTCACTCAGATTCMAGAGTTCTGGTGTTGTATGGTTTCATTCCTCCTACAAATCATTTTATTTAACATTTGTGTTTATCATCTTGACTTCAGGTTATTGAATACAAATTTTCTTACAGTTCTATGAAAAACTACAACTTTTAACTGTTTTTTGTAGAGAGCTCTTTCAACAACCTTAGTTTGAAGAAATATTTTAAATTCGAGCCAAAAGCTAGTCCACATGCACGGATTTCGAAACAGATTTTTGACATCTTATAACGTCTCAAATCTAAATACTTTTAGAGCATTTTAAAAAAGATTTTTACAATCCTTTACATGTTATAGTTCAAGGGTAATCTAGCAGAAACATAATTTTCCTGCCTGAATTGCCCCAAGCTGAGCTGGAATTGCTACAGTTAGCTATGACTTGCCATGTGCATGTATACTGTATATAACCCTAACACAAAACAGATTTAAAAATATGTTCAATGGTTTTTACATGTACCACTATGAAACTGTTCAAAGAGCCATCTATAACAATGAAGATGTTAATTGTTCCTGATCTTTCCACTGAGCCCCACTTCAAAGAATCTGGACTGTTCAAGAAAAAAGATATATAAATATATAAAACATAAATACAGTCCACAAAGACAGTAAAATTTTCAGCAAGCTACTTTGCAAACTAAGTCAAACTTTATCAGGGTTCCTACAGCTTAAGGAAAGTTAAATCTAAATCTTAAGAATTTTTAATGCCACTTGAAATTAAATTTAAGACCAACTTCACAATAAAAACAGCAACAATTTGACCTAAATGGTTATTTTAGCAAAAATCAACTAGCTGCGGTAAATAACAAAAGTTAAGAATTATTTTAATATTTGAGACAAATACAATCATTCTTCTTACAACTTAACATTTTTAAGACCTGTGAACGATTGATTTAAGACGATTTAAAATTAACTAAGGCCTTATTTTTGGATTGATGAATTCAATGCCTTTTAAGATTTTTTTAAGGATCCGCGGGAACYCTGTTTATGATTAAACTTCTCAAGTCCTCAAATGACTCAGTGGAGTTGAGGAAATCTGAATGAAAATTAAGCCGGACGTCAAGGAAAAGCTAGCACTCTCACTAAGTCTGTGGGTTTGTTTTTCTTCTGAATTCACTTGAAATGCTAAGATGAGAACGAAGAAGAAATGAGTCAACTGAAGCTGTGTGCGTTCCTGACTTCATTTTTCTGACCATGAGAAAGGAGACTAATGCTAATTAATTTCCCACAAACAATAAAGGAAACTCTAAATCATTGAGGGCAAAACAGAGTCATGCAAAGAGAGGACAGCAGGAATTGAGACAGAGAGACGGCACACAGAGAAAATGATGAGAACATGTGAAGATGATAAAGTAAAAGATCAGACTCACGGATCTGAACGCAGCCACTGAAGAATAATGCCTGTTGTACAATACAGGATTGAACCTTGTCTCCGTGGTAATCGGCTGTGAAATGTGAAAACAAAAGATGAGAAAAAAATCTAACATTTTTACACCTTTCTTTTCAGGATGAAGTACTTCCTGTGAAAACCTTTACAATATTCCAATTTATAACAAATTAGGTTCTACCTAAAATAATAAAAAACAGAAATTCAGTGTTTTTTCTCTTTTCATCAAGTTATTTTTACAGTCACATTTTCCCAAAAGAAAATAACCTTTGTAACTTACACCTACTTACATCACGTGTGAAATGATATTTTATTAAATATATACTTATTTGTACAAATTGTCTCACATGATTATTGATATTATTGATTACCAGTTTAAACAAGCCTGTATGGTACCAGCCAGCATATTGGAAATACTTTAAACACATTTGATTTTATTTAAACAGATTAAATATTTATTTTCATTTTTTTATTGATTTTTTTAAGTTTAAGGTAAATTCCCGACAAATCTACTGAAAATATGCCATTGGTTTAAGTTAGCAAATAATAAAATAAAAACAACAACGTAAATCTGAACAAAATATGCAACTTTCATCACTGACAATTGTGAAAGTCTAATAAAGTTAACTAAAAATGACTCAACAGGCACTAAACATTCATATTAATTTTGTATCACCAGTGAAAGGTTTATCTACTGCATTATACATGAGATTCTTATTTTCTTTAATCCTCAAAAAAAAACAACTTAAAAAAAAAACACCCAACCGCACCCCAAGGACACCAGTACTTTAAAAAAAAAACACTTTGTTGTATAATTCATGCTGGTTTGATATTTCAAAAAAGACCTTTGACTAATTCCAGGAGAAATAAAAACACTGTGCTGAGCAGAATTACAAAGTAATTCATAAAATCAATATGCCGTGAAAACAAGCAAAGCAGTGAAACTGAGACAACAGGATGGCTAAAAATATTAAATATCACTGCTATCAATGATATAAAAAGAAATGCGCAGAAAAAATAGGTAAATATGGGGTTTCCATGTTTATTTAAACACATAAAATAGCTGGTAGCAAGTTTAAAAATGTAACTGAACTGCAGAAGGACAAGGTTGCCGAGGGGCTGGGTTCTTTTGAAGCTACAGAGGAGCCTCAAGGCAAATTGAGGCTGTTGGACCTTTTTTTAACACCTCCACACCTCACACCCTCAGTGCTGTGCTGCAGACTGATTTCTACAGCACAATACTCCACAGTAATAGGTTTACTCTGAGGTCATTTCTGTAAGCAATGAGCTCCATCAGGCCCACAACCGATGCCTACTTTTTGCTTGGTGGCAACTCAGCCTCTTTCCCAAACGCCGAGAAAGCCAAACCATCTTTCATTTKCCAAGTGGGTAAAATCTGTTAGGTATTGATTGATTACGATATTTAAAAGCTGTGAGTTATATAACATCAGCTCTGATAATTAATAACCGAGGCTTAAAAAGGGCATCGTAGTCAGTTACAAAATTATGTTTTGCCCAGAAGCTGTTAGTTAAACACTGATACTTGCTTTATAAATAAAACCTCAGACTTTTTACACAGAAAATCAGAACGTTTTACAACTTGGTACAAGCCTTTCATACCCAAATACAACTAAAAATTAAGGCTGCGTGATATTAAGGAAGCAAGCTAATACAATAATATAAATTAATACCAGTACTACAATAACATTATTAGTTGCAATAGACTTGTTTTTGTGCACTGCACTTGTTTTCTATGCATAAGATATAAATCAGCTGTACATACTGAGAACCCTGATATTAAGTTCTGCAATCTGTATAAAATTATTGTGCCTTGGTACAAATGTGAACATGTTTACAAGTAAACATGTTTAAGATAATTACTATTTAATTTTCTACCAAAGAAAATCACCAATTTTTGTAGATTGCAGAAATGTGTATTTTAACATTAATTTCTCTGGGAAGAAAACTGGTGCATCATTAGAAAGTTAACAAAGCAATATTTGAATGTAACATCTGGAAGAATCCCAGGGTCTAAACAACAGAGAAGTGAACAGTGGGCACAGCTACGTGAAGGAAMAACAGCTTCCCTAAATTGTTGTAATTGTTGTTTTTTGATTGTGTTTGTTTTTTAGAAGATTTGCAACTGCATAATTACAAGCAACTAAAACAACCACAGAACTAGAAGCACTCGGAGAGTGCAAACCTCCGCCAAGACCAATTTCCCTCATCCTGTAAGAGTAACACAAAAGCACAAAAGCAGAGATGGAAACACATTTGCCGAATAAGTTCTGACGTAGCGAACATTTAAGCAGGCAGTATGCRTGGAATTTCTTCTCATTGGAGTCCAATGTGAAAAAAAAAGTCCGACTCGTCACCCGACGTTATTCATCGTYGAATTGGTGTCGGATTAAGCTCCTAAGTTTTCATCAGTCACATTTCACCAYGTAAAATGTCTGTTTTATCCCTTTGTATGAGTTTGTAATGGTTTGACTCTCTTCATAAAGTGCTTCTTGGCTCCCCCCCGTCTCCAAACTTTGAGGCCCGGCAGCTCTCTGTTTACAAGCCTAGTAGCGAGAAACTGTTCTGATTGGTTGTTTCGGAAATGTGGTGTGTTTGAGAAAATGGGAAAAATATGTTTCATGGTCCAGTCACGCACTTACTTCATAGTCACAAAACGTTCTGTAAATGCGCATATTATGGCAAGAATTATTCATCATTAAATCTGGTTTTAACATTACTTTTATAAAGTTTGAAGTCCGTGCTGTCCAATCCAGCTCACTGTTTTTTTTAAAGAAGCCCTGTGAAAGCATCACAGCTTTGCCGATCTCAGAGTGTTAAGAGAAAAATATTCCTGTATCCGCATCGTGATCCGGAACTTCACCAAAATTTAAAAGGTGTGTTTCTTGGCCCAATACCGACGTGGTAAAAATGTCACGACAATCCGTCCACAAGTTTTTGAGTAATGTTGTCCACAGACAGAACGACTGACAGACACATACATACGCGACCGAAAATATTACCTCGCCCTTGGCTGAGGTAACAATGGCAAAGTGAAAAATGCTCCTAAATTCAGCTGGTGATACGTTTTCTGTCCCATTTCTTTGACAGAAATATTTCTTTCGTGCAAATCTTCCTCTTTCTAATCCACTACATCAGTTTCCTTCAGCAAACCTGAATTGCCTATGTTTTCTCTCTTCTTACCTCATGTGTCTCATTGTCTCGAAGCTCTTCTTTGTTGTGTATGATTCATTTTAGATAGCTGYACTCTCTAATATCCTGAATCTCTCTACTCGCCTCAAAAAAAAAATCTTCCAGGTTTTTTCCATCTTTTCTTGTGCATGCTCTCACRTCAACATTTCCTTCTGCTACTGTTTAAACTGCTTAGGTCTTGAAAAAAACATTTGCTTATTGTGTTTGCTGTTTATTAAAACACATGCAAATACTTTAAAATGCAGATAAGGTGAATTTCAGGGTTTTCACATCTAAATTTGTGAAAGTGTTTAAAGATTGCAGTTTTCTTTTAATTATAATAATAACCCTTGCTATTCAGCTGCTCATTAGAAAGTAACAAAATTGATAACATTCATGCAAAATGTTTACTCCTAATACATTTTTAAGAATTCTCTGCAGATAAGAACACATGAAAGAAAAGGCATCTTTCTTAATAAAGAATTGCCAGGCTATGATTTTCCGCTGTCCTTTTCTGTAAATTAAACAGTTATGTGTGGTTGACATATTGGTCTGGTACTTATTTATTGCTGATATTTAAAAAAAAACAGCCTGTGGTTCATTTGCAGTGTTTTCTGAGTTATCATTATTATAGCGTGTAGTTTCACAGTGTGTGTTTTGTTTGTCTCTAATTTAAATGTTTGGGTAAACAACAAAAAAGGTCATTTCTAACACATAAACTGTGTCGTACTTTAGACTTTGAATAAAAAATAGATCCACTCTCAACAGTAATGCAAATCAGGCCATATAGTCCCTATTAAATATAAACTGGTATGCAGATATACAAACATTAGATGCATCTACACTGGAGAAAATGGATACATAAAGCTTTATTTTTGTTTTATAGCCTGCAAATTGGGTAAAACATGAAATCTAGACGTCGTCAACGATCTAATTTAGTCTATATGTGACAGTAAATAGGTCTGACTGTTCCAGTTTAGAAAAAAATCAAGTATTAATCAAAAAGTCTAGAAAAAAATCCATAAACAGGTTTTAAATAGGTCATGTTCGCTGAAAAAATAAAAATAAAACAACAAACAATAAGCCAGCCCAAAAAAACTATTACACTGCTTTGCATTTCTTTTGGGCTGCTTAACCACTAAACAAATTTCTGGATGCCAATTGAATACACAGTGAGACTGATATAAGCTCCATCAATTACCTCTATTTCATGCATCAGCAGAAGTTTAAAAAGCCTTTCTTACCTCTGCAGGCGGATTTGRTACCCACAAGAATTTCCATTCCCCACACTTTCTGCTCTCTCTGCAGCTACACGCTCTGCTACCTGAGAAAACACAGATATGAAAACATTTAGGAGCAGACTGTTTAATTTAAAAAAAAAAAAAACAACCACATCTGTAACCTCAAGCAGAATGAAACTCTTTTGATGACCACAGTTCTCATAAGAGAGCAATWAACTGCATACAATCCTGAACCATTATGAACCATACCGAAATGGCACTGATGCGACGGGGCTGCGTGCACACCACGCGGCAYGTCGAGCCCACGCCTCTGTTGATGTGGTTGTCGAGGATGAACTGAGTGACCTGAGTGGTCTTTCCGCACCCAGTCTCCCCACTCACCACTAGGACACGATTAGAGTTGATTAGCTCAACGAGCTCCTGTGGATACGATTAAGGATGCAGTTAGGGGTGAAAGAAAGAGAAACGGAAATATAATTTGAAGAAAAAAAATGCAGTTTAGGTGAAACGTATGTTATTTTTTTACTTTAAATGGAATAAAATTAATTCTTACCTCTTTTTTTCCATAGGATGGCAGTTTTTTCCTGAAATTCTGAAGAGGAAAATGTTAATTAGAAAACTAAAGGATATCTCTGTCTTTTTCTTGACATTGTTAGTGTTTTAGCATTTAAAATATATTCAACCAATAAGTCCTGATAATGACAAGGTCTTCACAAGGACAACGTAATACTCTTATTTTTTTGTTTCATACTCGTTTCTAACAAAAACATAAAAATATAAACTTTGAYGAAAAATCACATTTTTAATATTTCCCCTAATGTGTCAAATGAAAAGTAACTGAAACACAAAAATCCAACAAACAAAAAAACTACTTTATTTTGTCGCTTCCCAGCACAAACAATCTATTTTATTCATTAACACTTGGGTTTAGTACACAAATGTGATGTATGTATCTTGGTAATGTGTCAAATAAACAGTGCTTCGACACACACAAAAAGCACAACTACTTTAGAAGCCTGATGACCCGGTTACTGCAAGAAACCAACTTTTAAAACCAAGGAAAAACAGATGTCAAAAACACTTACAAGCATTTCTTTGTATTTTGATTCAGATTCCTTGCTGTGCAGATCTCTTTTTAAGTACTCATCCATTGAACTGTCTCTGACTACTTCCTGAAACAAAAACTCCAGATCCTTGTCTTTCCTCAGGGGTTTCTCCTCCTTCTTTTCCTCCTCTTGATCATCTTCATCCCAGTTGTCTGGTGGCTCATCTTTAACTGCTGCTTTAGATAAGTCACTAAACAAACACAAACAACATACGTATATAGTGGAGTGGATTTACGTTCAGTAACACTTCAAATATTCCCTTATTTTAAATAAAATTGTATTCTGATWATAGTGTTTTTATGCATAGCTGGTAGGCTTATTTATTCAGATTTCATTTTACATACTAGGGCTGAACGATTTTAGAAAATGATCTATTTGGGATTTTTTAATCTAAAAATTGCGATTATGTGTGATTATTTTTTTAATGTTTTAAGTATTTTTCAACAAACAGAAGCAACAAATCAATCTGTTTTATAATAAACAAAGTAAAATTTGTTTAAAGCACAGATTACAAAAAAAAAACGATTTAATGTGTGATTATTTTTTTAATGTCTTAAGTATTTTTCAACAAACAGAAGCAATAAATCAATCTGTTTTATAATAAACAAAGTAAAATTTGTTTAAAGCACAGATTACAAAAAAGAAACCATTTCTAATTTTTCTTGTTTCATACAACATGATATTAAACATGTTAAGTGAACTTCCTAAACACTGTCTGAACTTCACAGGACAGGCTATAAATAAATAGAAAAAATATAAAATATAAAAATAAAGCTTTCCAGCCAGTAAAATCATGAAAAAATACAGTGYAAAAAACATAAAGAGAATAAACATCTGCTTTAACCAACTTGTTATTTTCTAGGAAAATCAATCATCACCTAATATGTTTGCCAGTAATTGTGATCTGAGCTGTAGGAGAGATGTTAAAGAGAAAACAAGTGAAGAAAAACACTATGTTTAAAACTGCAAAGAAACTTAATGAAATTAAAAATTATTTTATGACTTCAGTGCTTGGATCCACATTATATAAATTAAATTAGTGATGACCTAAAATTTAATCTGCAGACTGTTAGATGTCACGAAACACAGGGAGGACGAGGTGAAGAAGTGACTGATCTGTGAGTCAAACAGCCGGGTCCAGAGATTTATTGTAGAGAGACAGTGTCAGAGAAAAATGTTACATTAAATATCACATCTCACTGTGTAAGCCAGGTAGAAGCAGTGGCAGCTGTGCGTGATTCATTTGCAGCGGTCTCCTCTCAGCTGACAGCAGCTGTGTGTGTGTGTGTGTGTGTGTGTGTGTGTGTGTGTGTGTGTTACCGTTTGGATGTGTGACTCTTTTTCTTCTGTCCTGGAATAACTTCTTCCTCTTCCTCAGATTTTACTTCAGCCTTGTGTTTCTCTTCTTCAGGCAAATCACCATCAAAGTAACTAAGATTACAATACAAAAACAACCTTTGCTTTATGCAAAATATAGTTTTCTTTATTGTAAGCTTCACACAACAAAGTGTAATCTACTAATGTAAGATTTTCTCACCAGTGTCCACTATGATTAGCATCTGTTTGCCAGTTGTCAGACTGAGAGGCCCTTGCATTCCTGCCATCTCGCCTTGGGCCAGGCTGGTCATTCTGAACAGAGTTAAGCAGCTTGGTAATGTGCTCCTCCCTCGCCTCATCCATCTGGACCACTGCCCGCTGAACACACAAATAATTAAACCTCATCAATTACTTTGCAGCTGCTAAACCTTGAATAGCAACCTAAAGCAACATCTTCAAAATACTTTATATACTGATCCATCATAAGATAATGACCACAGCCAACCCAGCTTTTCTYGTTTCAAAACAGTGTTGATTGAAATTGACAGGTCTGGGCCGTTATGGCAGTCATAATTGTATGGTTGATGAGTGTGTAAGTTGTGTGTTATGAGAAGCTGATCTAAAGACTTGTTCACTTTAATACAGTGAAAATTTTAATACCCTGTATACACGAGTGTAAACAAACTTTGTGTTAGTGCATTTCAACTAAATATTAACAGGGGTTGTTGTCCCCCCACAAAAAACAAACAAAAAACAAACAAAAACAAACAAACAAAAAAAACAGGATGCAGGTACACACATATGCACCAGTAGCCAAAAGGCACTTCTCATACCGATCTCCGGTCTGCTTGTTTCCTCCTCACGGCTCCGTATCGGGCATACCACAGACCAATCTCACGGCCCCTCAGATGTGGAGGAGGACGGTCTTTCTGACCATCTCCTCCTCCTCGGTCCTGGTCAAAGTCGGAACTACCGCTGTGTCCCCAGTCTTCAACCCCTCTGTCCATTTTCTCTCTGCTGCCATCCCTGTAGCCGCGACCTCCTCTTCTGCCTCTTCTTCCACCTCTTCCTCCACCTCCGTACCCATAACTCATCCCACCACGAACAACTAGCAGCACTCTGTCAAAAATAAATCGGTTACCGAACTGGGCTAACACAAGCAAGGCAAGCGACACCGGTGGAACTGGAAGATAGGATGTGAGACGAAATTCTAATTTTTTAAATAGGTGGCTACAACAAAAACACGATTGTTACCTTGTAACCTCTTCATAAAGAGATATAAAGCTTTGCTTATAACAAACACGCTGCTGCTGATAAATTAAAACTAGGTTTTATTTTTCGGTGCGTCGCACAATGATGACGTAGTAATTTGCAGACTCTAGAAAGTGACGTAACCCTTGAGCTTCGTGTCAAAATAAAGGTTAAAAACTTAAAAAAAAAACAATTTTAATTATTTTTCTTTTAAAGAATATAGTAGAGAATACTGTAAGGAAATATTTGAGTGAATCTATGTTTATTTAGATCAAGTTTGTGTTAGTGTTTTTTTTTAAAATTTATGTATTTGTTTGTTTTTAGTTGTCCTTTTTCCTTCATGTTCTTGAAATGCTTGCATGCAACATTGAGCTACTTTGTTTTATGTTAGCTTCATGTTAATTTTTGTACTCAGGGTGGCACGGTGACCCAGTTGGTGAAGCTGCTGCCCCTAAGAAGGTTGCTGTGTTCAGGGTGAGTGTGTACCCCACCCCTAACACAGTGACTGGTGGATGTGGGTACCAGTTACCCCAATTACCCTGAAAATAAGAGGGTTAAGATGATGCATGGATGAATTGATGGATGAAACTGTATTCAAAGATTTTTACAGATCTTTTTCTATATACTGTATAGAAAATACAATGTATTAAATAATAATCATTTAAAAAATGAAAGGAAAATTGAACTACACTGTGAAACCCAAGCAAATGTATTTATTTTTATGTCTGTCAATTTTGAAATGTTTCAAATCTTGTAGCTTTCTAAAGAGGTTGGAACATACTACTTTTATTTTAGTCATAACAATGTCGGAATGCTGAAAGAAATGTAATCCTTTGTAATTGCTGGAAAATATTTCATTACAAAATAACAACAACAACAACAACAACAACAACAATAATAATAATAATAATAATAATCAAGTGGGGTGGATGAATATTTCATCAACTTCAACTTTCAATAGAATCTGTTGAATGTCTATAAAACAAAGGGAGACTACTGTCTGAAAGTGAACTAACAGTGATTAATACTGCAGGACAAACTGTGCCATCAATTTTGGAAATAGAAAAAAAAAACATCTGAGGGACACAATAAAGGCTTTTATTCTGCAGCGGTGTCCTTAATTGTCACAGAGARACAGCCTCTAACTTGTTCAGCAGAGCTGAGGAATCATAATGTGGAGAGCGACTTTCATTAACTTGACTTAAGTGCAGCCTGACAACATTCATTCTGCTGATGAGAAATGATTGAAAAAAAAATGCTCACAGTTACTGTACGCCT